ATGAATCACTCATCTGAGGAAGAAATGTACAGTGTCTGGATTCATTCTCTTGAGGAACAGATGAGCCAAAGTACAAGCTACACCTGTGAAAGCAGTGGTCAGTCAGCTCATAGTTGTGTCCGATTGTGTGCAGGTCTGAATTATTTTGTGTGGTTACTTTCTCATTCTTCCTTTCTTATGAATTGTAGCTCCGTGTTTCGGCAGCATGCTGGCTCCTGAGTGATGAAAAGATGCCTGATTATCCAGGAACCCTTCAGTGTCATTCTTACACAATGTAACTCTGAGCTCCCTTACCCTGTCAAATCAGCTTCCACTTACAGTATAGGCTGGTTATGGAAACTTTACTCCCTAGAGATTCTGACAGAGAGGTCAAAATAAAGATATATAGAATAGGATTAAATGTTGACTTTACTCAACACTTAAAATCTCTAGTAAAGGAAATAAATGGCATTATTAAACACCCACAGCATATACAGTATAATACAGACAATGACAACAGAAGTGAAGACTCAAGTTTTGTGCTTCAAATTCTTTAACCTGCAAGCTTCTATTTTTACCCTACTTATCAAACTATGGCTTATTCTCAAAAGGGCTGTGTTTTATGTGTTGAATATAACATTGTCATATTTGTCCTGTCTGGTGTATTAAAGTTGCTGTTTATGTAAGAGGATAATTTTAACCATCACATTTTAATTCAACCTCAGCTCATCACCGTTTCATGTAAACGATGATCTTACAGAAAAGTGACCCCTGTACCCACTGCTCATCAAACTAGCACCTTCCTCATGGCCTGAAATCAGAAGCTGAGGCCATACGAGTGGCTTCTAACAGTGCTGTAGGCTGATTTAACTGCGTTTCTTATGGCTTAAGGAAAGTAAAAGTAGGTAGATAGGCAGGAACACTGTGCAATCATTGCTAAATGAGATTCTTCTCCAAATGTTTAAATGAAAACATCATATTCTGATGTAAAATATACTGTATCCCTGGTGCTCCCTAAGGGTAATACTGCAAAAAAGCTGCTTCAATCAAATACAATTTCAACTGAGAAGAAACTTCAGCGTTTGTAATGAGGGGCCGTGATGCACTGATGGCATCACCTCTCTCACTCAGCTGCTGCGTCCAGATGTTTCCTTCCCCGTCTACAATCAAAGCTTCCATGCAGCCCAGGGAACAAAAAGGGTTACAGCCAAAATAGAGGGGCTTTCAAACCCACAGCTAGTCAACAAGAAAGAGCCCTGTTTTTTCACCTGACATGCACGGAGCAGTGCCTGTCCTCGGACAGGAGTCTAGCAGAGGCTCTAGAAGACGGAATGAAAGAGCATCTTGCCAGAGAAAGACAGGGATTGTTGCTGGAATTCGCCTGAGCTGGTCACACTAACATGAAACTGCACACATCACCACAAGGCTGTGTTTTGGCACACTCAGCAATAATAACAATAATGATCATGAATGCTTATTAAATCCCGGTTTCAGTAACAGGATTCAGGAGGTGAAGTAAGTGGCGGATGATTAGGCAGGAGGGGGTGGTGCCTGGGTCCAGGAGGGAAACAGGAGTGCCAACCAGGCTGCCTGACTGCAGAAAAGAAGGAAAGGTCAAAAGGTCAAAGTTAAAGGAAGCAAATGCAATATTTCAGCAGTGGAAGCTCTTCAGGTGCGTCCTCTTTCACTTGAAGAGGCTCCGCAGCTGAAAGGCTGTGCATCTCTTTCCCCCTTCTGGATCCACTCGCACAGCGACGCCGCTCCTCACCCGAACCTCTGAAGAAAGGAACCGCCTGCTTTCGGAGGTGGTCCAGAGTCGAGGGCTAGGAGGAGAAGCACAGTCCAGCCAATCAAATGGACTGAGTGGCGGCAGGCTGTACCCCTCTGCACGGATCCAGTCCCAACCGGCTCAATCAGAACCAGCTCGTGAGAGAGCCTCCGTGCACTGCCTGATCAAACGGATCAGAGGGGAGGCCACATGACAGGTCTGCAGCTCCAGCTGATGAACTCGCCTCTCAGCGAGCGCCTCTGGGGCTGTGGATTGACATCCAATTCGTCTGTGTGCCGCTGTCTTGACAGCAAAATCACTGCACCTGCGATTAAGGTATTAATTGTTTAGATTACTAAGGAAAATGGGAAACTGAGGAAGCTGTCCCCTCCCCAGCTCTGTGAGGATGGCTCAGGCTCCACCTTTTCTGAACAAAAACGAAGCCCTCAAACAATGTGTATCGGCCCGAGTTTTTGTTAAATAAACAGGTGACAAAACCTTACTATTGCGAACACACCAGCTACAAAGGAGAGGAGGCATTGCAGCCTATCCAACTTGTTCGTCTCCGAGTCGCGATCCGAGGATCTCACCCAGCCACCTCTAAGAAAGATGCCAAGCTCCACCTGACCACAATACAATATATCCTTTATATCCAACAATCCTTTATCTACCCAGATACGTAAACTGAAAATAAATTTACATAGACAACTTAGTATTTGGGTATTTGGAGGTAATCCATTTATGCAACACAACATTTACCGGAAAAGTCTGTGAGAAGTCCCTTGACCAGCGGCACAGCACCCCAAAATAGAATCAAACCTGCAGCTCTTCAATTAGATTGGATTAGAAATTGTGATAGGAAGATCACATCTGATGAGAACTGCTGCAGTGTAAGGATATACTGTATATTTTCCAATTATTTCTAGGCGACCTCTGGTGGCTGGTGGTGGTGATGGCGACCACAGATTGTGCAGAAGCAGCCAAGCCAATTTCTGGTTTTGAAGGGCTGGCATTTCCACATGGTTCCACAATCTTCCTTTTCGCCTTTTTATACCACCAGCAGTTGAGGAGCTGGGTTGGTCCAATTAAAGCGACACAAGTTACCTTAGTTCACTGAGAGCTGAGCTGTAATGTTTGCATGTTGACACCCCAGCGCCCCCCCCAGACAAGAACTGGACAGCCTCAGAACGACAGCTGATGAGCTGGACCCTGAAATGCATTCTGCCCCTTGCTGCTATTTGACCCCACAACCTCATCCAGGCACTTCCTGGACTGGCTCGTTCCCTTTGGGCCGAGACGTGCCCCCTGTCCCCGGAGTCCAATGCCCTTCCATGTGCTCTGTGAATCGTGTTTCACTGTGGGCTCTGAAAAAGACCACTGTGGTGACTTTGCTGGCGAACTCTGAGGATACTTGGATCAGCTTTTTCTTTGTTCAAGACTCTATTTGTTCAGTTCCTTTGGCTTGTCAATAAACAACAGTCCTCTAAAACTGGGGAAGCATTTGTTTGCTCTTCTCTGGGCTGATCTAAGACCAGCAACCTCTTTTTTAATGTAGTGACCAAAGTCATACACAACATCCTAACTGGGGTCTTACTAGTGCATTTCAGCACAAGATCGAGATGTATTCTGTCAGTTTGCCTGCCTTTCTTACCGCTTCCCCACAATTCTGTGTCAAACACAAAGACCTTGGCTACTCGGTGCGACTATTGCTGCTTTATTAAAAAATTGAACTGGCAAACCTATGATGCGTACTCTCACAGCCTTTTTAATGTCTTATCTATATCTACTAAATTCCACTCCTTTTATTTTCCGTAGTTTCGCCCTTCATGCTGCGATAAAAATAATAGATAATGAGTTATTTTTCACTTTTAAAATGCATTTAAAGATTGTGTAATAACCCCTTCCTTTTCGTCAGTTTTGTTTCATTTTGCATCACCGAATTTAGGACTGAACTACACAAGTTATAAAAACCCAAATGATTGATTCAATATTTGTTATTGAAACCCATTCTTCCTATAATGCCAGTATTGAGCGCGAACACGGTAACAGTGCAGAATTACCTGCCTGAAATATACAACCGTAAAGTGATGACACCACATGATGAATAACCTCAGCTTAAAATCTATTAAACTCATTTAAATTCCTAATGCAATAAACTGTATAGGGCTAGTAAAGTGATCTTATGAATTCAACAAAATAAACAAAGCATAGGGAGAAACGGACGTGTGCCAGCACCACAAACTGTGTACAATATTGCCAGAAGTTGGAAATACTTCGGGCAGCAATTTACCGATCTGAAACCCCTAACTTGAAAAATGACCCTGGCTAGGAACAGAGGCTACGGCGTATGTCATGAAAATACAGCCCATATTCCTGTTTTCAGTGACTTGTTTCTCAGTTTGTGCGCTTCATACAGCGGATTTTAGCGCGGAAAATTTCTGCCAAATCAGCCCAAAAACCCGAAACAGCACAGGACCCAAAGCAACGTTGTGTGGCCGCTCTGAAATGCGCAAATGAGTGGCCACACAGCTTCTGCCGTGGTATGGACGAGGTCAGGCTCACCATAAACTAAATTAGGTGTGTACTGTACGTTTTAATTGATTTTACTGCATAAAGCGCTGTGGTCTATTCGCGCAGCAACTTCACAACTTCATTGGGCAAAGCAAAATTCCCTTTCAGAACATGACTCTATGACGAGATACAGTACAACTCTGAGAAGCAACAGAGGGTCGAGATCCCTGGTCTTGGGTGAAGGAGACGCTCACAAGGCACTCGGACGAGCGAAACATTTGATGTAGCCTCTGAGCTAAAATATGAACATTTGAAAAAGAACGACCACACACCTGGTACTACAAAAGATGCTTTGATAAATCCATTCATTGGAAATTTTAAATACATTTTTTACACAATTAAAACATAACGATATATACTGTAGAATGAATATCATATTCTGCTGGGTTTCTAGATCTTGTGAAAGTTGCTGCTTTCTGTTTAAATTAAGCTAAACAGCCACATTCTCAGGAGAGGTCGGGAAGCGACAATTCCCAATATCAGTCCCGGAGCGCAGTTTGATTTCCTAAGAGTCCTGCTCGACTTCAGTTGTTTTTTCCTCAACAACAGACTGAAATAGGATTTACAATCTTATGCCGCTCACAAACAAGTCACCCTGCTTCCCAGATTGCCCAAATGCTTTACGTCTGATCCACAGTAACTCAGCCTTAACACGAATCTCGTAAAACAGAAAAAAGCTTACCTGGACAATGAGATCTGACTGGAGAATATACCGAGATGCTTCTGTTCGGCACAGGAAGACAACACCGTGGAACTGTGACTCATTAGTTCAGGCGTTAGTTCGACCACTTAGTTGGATGCCTGAAAACCATCCGGCGGACTTTTTTTTATTGGATTTTAGGTAGAGAAATAGCGAAACACAAGCAAACAAAACCTCACGGCTTTACAGCTGTGAAACGCTGGCAGCTTTGACAAAAGCTTTCTGGGCTGCACCGCTGCCAGAAAGAAGACCCGAGGTTTGTGAAGGAGTAGCCCAGCAGTCTTCAACTTAATGAGAGCATACTAGGAGAAACAGATACCTCCCGGCGGCGACTTGTTTTAATAATATGAATCCAGGAAATATCCCTAAAACAGTTCAGTGCATTTATTCGCACGTTTTATTAACGTTTGCACTTTCTAATGTTAAGCATCGCCACATCGCCGAAAACGCAGCGTTGCGTTATTACAACAGAAAGAGAACTAATAGCGCAGCACCTCGCTCGGACTCTGTAGACTGACGGTACCGTATATATGCTAAGATGAGTGAGCATTATAATCAAGGAAACGACACATTAGCGTTAGACTGACAAATCCACCACATTTATTTCGTAGGTATCATTCTAAAGAGCGACAGAAACACTGTGAAACTAATTTATGTTATTGCGATGCTTCTAGATGATCCTTGTGCGCCATAACTTTGCATATGTACATACAGTACATTCTTGTAACTACAGAAGATGCTTACAGTCGTCCCTTGATTTGACAAAATGTAAGATTAGAATTAAGACTGTGAATTCTCACAGATTAGAATATATTTAGACGCCTCGGCTAAAAGAAAGAAAAAACGCACAACTATAAGGGCATGAACACCTGGGGATTTTAGTATCAGGAAAACTTGTATATTTTAAAATGTGCTTCAGCTGGGAGCCAAACCACAGGAGGAAATGTGTACAAGAAAAGGCTCCATATAAGAGATTCGCTCCGTAAATAACGCGGAAACTACAGTATATACTGGCATGTACACGTATCTGTACATTTCCCTGTGCAAAATGAAGAGCAGATCTCTAGTTTGTTTGATAGTCCCCCGAGACACAAAAGCGATTGTTTTTACCCTGAGGCACAATGCCACCTGAGCTCTCAGGGGCAGGCACGGAGCACGCTGTGGTAATCCCTGCGCCGTTGTCCTTTCTGTTTCACAAGGTATCACCGCGCACTGACAAAAGTAACAGCTGACCGCATCAATCAGCGCTCGGTCCCACAGCCTGTCGAGACAAGGTTATGATGTGAGCATCCATTCCAGACTGGGGATTCTCAGACTGGATACCTCTTGCTGCCTGCCCACCAGCAGCTGCCAATGCCCACCCAGAGCCACAGTGGAATTTATCTACCCATCCATTATCGGAAAGCTTCTTATGCATGGCCAACTCACACCCCACACCCCACACCCCACACCCTCTCACCCCACACGATGCAGGAAGGTGGGAGAAACAAGACCACCCAGAGGAAACAGACATGAACACTGGGAGAATATGGAAGTTGCACACAGAAGGTGCCCCATTCAGGAACCCAACCCTGGATTGTGGGACAGCTGGGTTAACTACCATCTCACCACATGGAGTGGTAGTCCGTTGTAGAAATATATTCAACATCACAGAGTAATAACCAGGAGGAGTGCTGTAGTCCCCAGAGCAGTGCAGTGACTTTAGATGTTCGTCCCAGCACCCAACACCAGGAGAAGGGAATGAAACTGGACTGATTCCTGGGCTTTGGAGCTCAGCTTCTTAATTACTAGAACTCAGGTTCATGTGTTTTCCAAACAAACATTGTGGGGAACCCAAATAAGAAAAGGCATTAACGTCAATTAATTCAGAGTCCTTAACATCACATCTTAAACTGTCTCTTTTACAAATTTTCCGCACTGTATTTGAGAACTTCCATAAGGCTTCTGTGACTTTTTCTTCATTAGAAAGCTGAAATCCAAAGGATCTTTAAAAGAATGCCATTTTAAAAATGTTTCTGATTGTAAGAAACCTATTAAACCAGTGGAATTTTTCATTTCTACTAGCCTGTGTGGGGTTGGGTTGTAAAATGGTTAGCGGTGCATTGGATACAACGATAGAATGAACAGCAGTTAGCATCCACACAAAAAAAAGGAAAAAAAAAGAATATTTATAAATCCTTATTTATGGAAAAATGTAAAACCCAAGCAGAAGTGCTTCTATCTAAACAGTAAATTAAGAACTACTGCTTACACTGCTCTGCTTTCTGAAAACAAATATCTCCCCAGTGAATGCTTGCATATGTAGTTTCTCCCTTGTTATGTACAGCTCTCTCTTTGCCTTTATAAAAAATGCTTTTGGCATTTCCATTGTGCAGAAAAAGTGTTTTACCTACAACTCCTATGACTCACATTAATGCTTAAGCATTAAGACATGAAGAGCAAGCTCTTTTTTGTTGTTGTTGTTATTGAGAAAAACACCTCAGGCACAATGTGAGTGGTGAAGAAATACTTACTGTAGGTCATAGAAGAGATCCATCTCCCAGCAGTTAAACCACATCTGAGTAAACACTGAGAAAGGTGGTCCATTTAAAAGCACAGTATTATTTCGCTAGAATCAGCTGAGCAGAACTGATTGCAGAAAATAGCAATGAGACAATATATATGCAAATGGTTTCCCTCTCCTCTTCAGAAAACTGGAAATCAGAAGCATTACAAATTGTAAATCACAAAATTAGCATTCCCAAATTAATAACTTGGAATCTGCTCATTGAAATTATTTTATGAGGTATCCTAAATCATCTTTCTACAACTTCGGACCCACCATAAGGCCTTCGTACAAAAAAGAGGTCAAACACTATAAACAAAACTGAAAATCAATTTGGAGAAGAAAGGCAAATGGTAATAATGACTTTCCTCTTTAACTAAAACCTTCAAAATAAAATATGCAGATTATCAATGGTCATTGCTAAAAGTCATATTTGTATCATGACAGAAACCAGTGCAGATTGCAGAGGAAGGAGGGGCACCTGCTGTCTCACAGTAGCTGTTAATGTGTTATCAGAAGGTCAGTTATTCCAGGTGAGGGCTGCGGCCACACACACCCTGTCCTGGACCCAAGGGGGAAGAGGCAAAACAAGGCCAGTGTACTATTGGGCACAAGCTCACACAATCAGGGGACTCTCGAGACACCCATGAACCCAGTCAGCTTGACTTTGGAATGGAGGAGGAAACCAGAGCACCAGGGAAAAACCCACCTGAACACCGGAAGAAACATGCACACGCCACACAGAACGGGCCACAGGTGTCATATACCTCTTATTACACCCAAAGCTGAGAATGCTCTACCATGTCATACCTGCAGTATCAATGGACTAAACTGAGGCACACTGTTTCTCAGGGATCTGCATGAATTCCTTGTCACAGAATTACAAGAGTTATGCCGGCAATGAGCAAGGAGGGCAAAGAGACTCAGTCAGATTCAGGGCTGCACATTTTTTTCTTCAGTTCAGTTCCGGAAACAAAGCTCTGCAAATGCAAGGTTAAAAAAACTGCGCAAAGAGACCCCTGCATTGGGTTACATGGCTGGCTGGAAAAACATGGGGCACCGGAGTCTTTATTGGTGCAGGAAAATCTTTCTACTTAATGCCTTTGCCTGCTGTTGAACTTGCTCCTAAACCTCTGAACAAAAGAGAATTCAATACTGTTCCCAGACAGACGTGCAGCCGTTTCATCAATTGACATAGAATTCAAGAGACACTCTGCTTCTACGCTTCTACTGTAATAGTGCCCCTCATATTAAAGCGATGAAGGTGCACAACAAGGGTTTTAGGGCAATGTCGCTCCTCTCCGATTGTGATCTCTGATCTGATTGGGCAGGGGGTTTTACTCTGGCTGGGGCTGTGAAGCTGGACTACATGACAGCTGTTCAGATTTTGTGTCAGGCTACACACGCTGTGCAAAGATCAGAGTACTTTCTCCATCCTGTCTTTCCCACGTATGTGCGCTGCATGTGAAAGAATGGAGGCACACAGAGAGCTTCCATTCTTCTTCCATAAGGAAGAAGGAATGTTTCTTCCTTAGATAAACTCCTGGTGTACAATGCATTATATGCTGCTCTGCTGTGTGTCCCTCAAAAAACTACTGATAAGCTATTACTATATAGTGGCAGCCCAATGCACTTATAATTGATCGCATTTCAGTCTTGGTGTATATAATTTCCATTCAGAGGACTGTCACTGCACTGCATCTAATGTCATGAAATCCTTGGGCATATATATCATCCACTGATGAATGTAAATGTGCAGGACTGAATTCATATTACTAATGGTGCATTATGTGCTGCTATATGCCAGTTTATGGTTCACTAGAGAAAACTCTAGGAGTTTCATTTACCAATAAAATGCAGGAACACCCCCCCCACCAGTTTCAAATGTAATTGAGGGAAGCACATTTGACATTAAATTACTCCTTGTACATTTGGTTATGCTGTAGGAGTTTTAATGCCTTATGACTACCATAGACAAGTGCCATAAACCTGTCTGTATTACAGCTTCCTCTGTAATGGATTCCCTTTTTAAGTATATATCCAGGTCTGAAAAACACCAAAGGAAGCGAATGCAGTTTTGGGTGGGTCAATGTCACGATTAGTGTTCGTTTCAAATTATTGATTTCACATTAAGTAGCAACCTTCCCTGTGCTGAGAAGTGGAATTTCTTTTACAATTCTGTTCAACATACTGTTTTAAGCACTGGACTTAGACCACCTTCTCTAGAATAAAACAGTCATTCAATATCACCAAAGCAGCCATTTACTGTGCTTTAGAGATAAACACCCCAACAGATGAGAAATCAGACAAATAAGATCTCAACAACACATCACAAGTAAGTGACTAATCTGCACATTATAAATGACTCTTATGGTCACAATAATTCAGCTTTCAACAGACTCCATGGATTTTTCACTTACCCTAAACTAAAATCTTTCTGAGCATCTGTATTACAAGATGCTTAAACCAGATTTCATTTTGAGTGGAAATAAAATTGCAAACTATCAACTTCAGGTATAAGTGCATCTCAGTGTCACATTAACTAACCAGGCAGATGTACAGTCATTCTTTGGATAATAGCACACCCACACAAAACGCATTGGAACACAGCAAAGATTTCTTGTTGATTTTTGGATTCCTGTGCCCTACACTCCATACATTTCCAGAGAGAAATGACAACCTGCCTGTTTATTACTCGTGTGCTGTTTGCCATCATCCCAGTTCGAGTTTGCTCCCTTTTCTCCGAGCACCTCTAGCACGTGCACAGCATGCTTGTGGTCCAGAGAAGACAGGCTTGCTCCGTGTGCTCTTGTCTTCTGCACATGCTCCCAGGTGGGCCTACTCCCCAGATTCTGTATCTTATTTATCATGCACACAGTAATTGGGTCAACATCTGGGTCGGAAAGGTGCTGATCCAGCCTCCTGGTCTCCAGATTGCCCTGCTGCTTGAGGCTTTTATTTTCCTGAGCTGGCTCAGCGGCCCGGCTGGCACAGTTTCTGCCACACATGCCTCCAGGCTGCGGCGTTCCCAATGTGTCATGCGAGACAATGAGCGATTTCAATTAACTTCCGGAAGCAGGACAGAACTTTTTAAGTCCGTCTAGAACGGTTTTAGAATGACTACCCCGCCCAGAAAAAATGCTGTCTAAAAAGCAGTTCTGTTCATATCAGTTTCAATGTTTATATTGAATTATAAATGTAGGGAAATGGAAGGAAATAAACATCCTCATGTAATGCATTTAAATTGCTGGGTTAATTTGAGAATACATTTTCCTTTTTAATATTGATTAATAAAATCACAGACAAAAAATGGAACACTGTGTTCACTAAAAATTGTATGCATTTTTCATACCTTTCATCAGAATTCTAACAGTACCGCACAAAATAAAAATTGTTTCAGGGATGCATGTACACATTTTTCTATTTTTTTTTTCATGCAGTGATGTGTGCTTGTCGTGAAAGATCTTCCGGATCTGGGCGCCTTCACATGCAAATTTGCTGTATAATAGCCAAGGACTAGTTTAAATGAAATTTCAAATTTTTTCTGGAAATAGACTCTCCAGCTGAGAAATTCTGAGCAGTGATCCATGACAGTAGAAAACTCCTGCTTAAAGTGCAATCTATTGGTTATATTGATAGTTATTGGTGTTTTGAAATTCATTTGCAGGACTCCGATATTCAATATAACTAATAATTATGCAGGAAAGAGTACTTTTGTTATTGGCTTATTCATTTAAATACCCACAGGAAACTCAATTTTTAAGAGAAGCGGTGCCTACACTTCTTATTGAATCTATTTCAGCTGTTCAGTGAAGGGCAGTTTGTCTTCTTCACTCCGATCTTAAGTGCCCTGAAGCTCCCATTAGGCATTTCACACAAACACGCTAATCAAGCACTATCAGTCTGACTTGAAGATGAAAAGAAACTTCTAATGGTGTAATTGCATATGAGCATCTTCGCTTTCGAGTGCTGAGGAATGGAGAGCTTGTATATGCAAGACTTAAAGGCACCATAAAGCTTTTGTATTGTTTTATATCCTGGATTTGCTATAGGTTTATAGAGTGTAGAGGGCATATCAGATGGATACATACTAAAAACTTGTAAACTTTTGTTGTTTAGAAAGCACTTGTTTATTTAATCTTAAAAAAGAAGATTCATTATTAATCTTTGTATTCTCTTATATTCAAAAACTGTCAGGTATGCCAATATTTCGCAAATTAATTTAGTGCTCTGTTTAAAACAATCTATGGCCCTTGTCCATTTGTGTTCATTGCACTACTTGTAATTAATGTTCAACTATTGAACCCATTACACAAGCCATTAACTTGAACCACTTGAATTTACTTAAAATATAAGTCAATGGAAAAAGCATCCTATTTTTTTTTAAAAGCACAACATCAAATGAAGACATGCTGCAAATGAACTAATTTTGCATTTTCTATTATAGTTTGGTAGTGGTCTCCACACTGATCCATAATTTGTGAGTAAATCTGTCATAAAAGTATTAACTAATTTCCATCTATTTAAAAACAGCTGTACTGTTCAACATGGAATTATTGAGGGGTTGCTTCATGGTATTTGAAGTCTGGGCATTAATATTGATTAAACACAGCACTTCAAATGAGGTGTAAAATGAGGCGCAGTTCGGCATTTCTCCCCGGGTTTTCACTGAGCTCCAGAAGTCATCTGACTCTAGTCACAGAAACATATGAACCTCTCAGCCCGACAGTCATGAGCTTCAGGGTGAGACTAGATGGCCCAGATGAAAGTGCAGACTTACCGTATTTCGGAACGCTTAATTTAGTTCAAGCTTATTTGAAATTTAAATGAACATTTAGTACAACCCTGCTTTTTCCTCGTTAAAATGTTAATTTCACACAGTCTTTTTTTATAGTTACGGCATATATTGTAGCTGTTTTTCCCTGCAAAGAGAAATAAGTAAACCCCTCTCATCTTTGGGTATACAGTATCTAGCTTTTACAAACAGGTCATGCAATGCTTGAATAAAACTGTGCTTACATCTTGAGAACCTTGTAGTCGGAGGGCTTTCTCCAGTCTTCCCTATATCCATGAAGATGTCTTCTAGCTCCTCTTCTGCTTCTGCAGGAGTGTACTGCCTTCTGAGACACGTACTGTATTTCTCTGTAGAAAAGGACCCGAACTGGAGCTACACAAAGCACTGTTCAAACCCTTCAGCGATGAATCAGTCTTATCCACAGGAAGGGTGCATCTGAAGTAAGGGCCTGTCTGGACACTCTCAAATGAATGTTCCCAACTGCAGATGGACCAGGTGTGGACAGACTGGGGAGCTACAGCCTGCAGGGTCACTGTGCTCCAGGTGGGGACAGACTGGGCCCACAGGGAGCCACCCCTCAGCTGGTCAGCAGTGATCATGTGCTCAGACTGGAAACTCCCTCTTCAGCTGCGCGTTACTGAACGCCACTGCACTTGGTGCTCGGGACACTGCTGCTGAATGACCTGGCCTTTTTGGTGTGGTCTATAATTCATTTGAGCAATCTGAAATTGCTGAACTCCTGTCTTGTGTCATTATGTAAAGACATAGAATGTGTACTTTTGACATTATATCAAGACAGTGAATGAAGGAATAGGAGGACAAAACAGTTTTTTCTTTCAGTAGTGTTTGATAGACTGATGTCTATCATCACAGACTGATGTGCAGTATCAGATGCTGAAGGCACATGTCTAGGAGAGTTTAAACACTTGATTCTGCCCAAAGTAAGACACAGAAGGCAGCGTGAACAGTGATGTGGATGTCAGTACATTGCTGAACAATTGTAAGCACAGTTAACTCTGCATCCAGAACCTATCATTCTGACACTTATAGATCTTTCATGTCTGCAGGTGACTGTTGGCCATTCATGCACAATACTTTTAAACATGCTGTTAACACAAAGGGAACACCAGGCCCAAATCTACAGACTCCAGAAACAATATTTAAAGCAGACACTGGGAACCCAAATCCTATGATGTTGTGTTGTTGTAGTTACAGGGGGTGGAAAAAGTGCAAGCTGAAAGAGTTGGCAAATGTTTTATGATTACAGCCCAGTAAATGTTTTATAAGCTCACCGCATTGCTGGCAGCTCAGAGCTGGAACTGAAAGCAGGTTTTCCCGCTCAATTGCTTGGTTTAGAGAGAGCAGGTGTGACCTATAGTTTTAATAGTCGGGACAATAAATTTATCAGGCTCAGTTGGGTGTTATATCACAGCATGCTCAAACTGAGTGTCAGCTTTAATGAGAAGGATATCTTAAACACTAATTTAGATCAATATCAATACTGAGCAGAGACTTAACAGGTGACATGTAATGTAGACAAATGCATACTATTACATGTGAACTATACTGCATATACAGAATGGGAATCACTGAGCTAGAAGAGGCTACTTCAATAAAAACTTTGGTCTTTAAGCCAACACATTTATATCCTATAGATAATGTGGCAAAGTAATAAAAAAAAATCAAGATAAAGGTAAAGACATGAGAAAGAGCTTCAGTGTGTGTACGCAAAGGACTACCGGCGAAGGTATCTCGTGTTGAGTGATTTTCAAATGTTTGTGCCAGACACTGTCGTGAGCAGGGCTATCAGTGTCATGGGAATTAACAATATTTTTACCGCTAGAATAAAACAGCCAACAACCACGTCAATGGTAAATATAAATATTTACAATATGACTTTTCCTTATTAAAACCCAAGAACATCTTCTCCCTAAATGCAACAGTGAATACGTCGCTCCCTATACAGTATATACATTTTTATTGCAGTTCACAGAACGAAATCCTCAACAGTTGGTCTGCTTCCAAAGCAACAAGACGTTATAATAAATATATTCATGTACTTTCTGTCCTTGTGCCACCGCCCCACGAGCGTCCTCGAGCTCTCATCTGAAGGTCGACGCCAGATGACGTTTTTCTTCTGGAGTGTCAAGCTGAGAAGGCGCCTGCTCTAGAAATACAAGGGTTCCCTCAGCCCATGTCAGAAAAAATAAATACAAAACCTCAAATCACAACCGTGCCACACAGTAACTCTGAAAAAAACAGGCAGGTTGAGTCAAAACACGCTCGAAAGAAAAGAGAAACACTTCCAATTATCATTTACACCTCTCGCAGAACACCGAATATCTTTCAATCACATAAAAAGAGAGACGCGTCTGACAGCTTTATCGCCTGTGTGACAAGGATGCACACCGTTTGAACCATTTATCTTTTAATTTGTATCGATAGAAAATGTGTCAGTTTTTTCTTGTTGTGGTAAAGCCGGTTGTTATTCACACAGTTACAAGACACATTGAGGGCAGTTTGAGTGATTTTTTTTTTCCTGGTGGTGAAACAAAACTCTTATCTCCCCTCAAAAGTTCTGCTTGTCTGTTAATGCATTTCCATAATGAAAAAATCAGGTCTGCGCAGCAGAAAGATAAGCAAAAGCACAGCGATTAGATTCCCACCAGATATCAGACGGTAACCTATCAAATCTCACACTTTTAAAAGCTTTTGACAAGCCACACACTGGAACATTATAATGAGAATAAACTCGTGGTTGTTTTTTGGAAGTTTTATTTTTAAGATGAAAGGTCATAGATTTTGTCTTGATTGCAGGGAACTTACGAAACCTGAGTTTTTTTGATTTTCTACAGAGACATGCGGAACACGCGGGACAGAGCGAATTAAGACGTACATGTACCGTAGAGTACATACAGTATAGGATAGGACACTGATCAGGTCAGTGACGACTACATGGAGGGAGATAAGGCATACAAGTGAGACAACAGCTATTTGCAAAACAATTCTGTGTGTTGTTTTTAACATGGAATCGCTGACATTTGTTCTTACATGCCCGTGTTTGGTCCATGATCTGTACAGGAAAAAGAGCTGGTACAGTACATGAGATACAGCCTCCGAGAAAAGAAGTCAGGGTACCAAAAGCTGATCAATCACGGTAGCACCCCTGGGGTCCCCACATAATATAATACATTCTCGCACGATGGATTTACTCCTAAAATGATATTGTTTAGCAACACTGGGCTTCTTCGGCCACGATAAAACCCGTTGAATTTGTTAGCAAAACACGTTACGTATTTATGGAAATAAACTAGTAAAGGACTAGAGGCACCGGTAACGGCGCTCGTTGAGACACAGTTGTTGCCATTTTATGTTGCACACTGGGAAGTCAATGCTGAAGTTTGTGTCAATTATTACTCCTACAGGTTAGACCTGTCAGGAAGCCAAAAACCAAGTAGTGAATAACAATAAGACAGTAGCTCTAGCCAGGAAAACCCTAATTCTGAGCACCGGGGAGAGTGTGAGGCAGCATTAAATAGGCTGGGGAAAAGAGCTAATTGGGAACTGTGTTGAAATGTGAGGGAATGCCAATTCCTCCGGGGGCTCGGGTAACACCTGTGCACTTACCCAGTGAGTTCTGCGTGATGTCGTACTACGGTCCTGCATTGACTTGATGTGCCCTGTTTTCCTAACTTCTGCTTCAAACCTGTGTCGGGACCGTCTCACGTTTCTACATTTCTTTTCAGGAAAGCATCGGGAAAGTTTGACCGTCTGGCGTTCAGTGCTTGCGTTGAAAAGCTCCGAAAACCCATTTGTGTTTCATTCTGACCCGACGCCACAAAAGGAAAAACAATCGTTAGTCTTCTTGTTCAAATGGAGTTTATATAACGAAAGTTCGGCAGGGATGACGACAACCACGCTCAATCGTTCCCAGCCGTCAGTAATCAGCAATCACTCCCTTCACCCTTCCTCCACCGAACGCTATAATACCAACGTGATACCCCTCCCCTTTGCCTGCGACTTTTGTATCCTCTGCAGTGACCCCTTGGTTACCCAGCAGGTGGCCGGCCCTCAGCCAAGCGGGTTAAGCCAAATATTGTCTCCATAATAGTTCATTACGCTTTGATCTTGGGCATTGCCATACCTAGTGAATTCTTGTTTAAGCAGAAAGGGAAGAACAAGTCACCCTTTCTATCTACCATATCTGTTTGCTGTTAGCTTCTTTTTCTAGGTCCATGTTGAACATATTAATTTACCTACTGTACTTTCCACGGATATATAACACTGCTGGGACTGCTTCATCAGTGTTCAACCAACTGCTTATTAACATTATTTCTGCAAACAGTGCAAATCAGAGTCTTTACATGAGCCGGGAAATACGGAAGTCATGAATTTGTAGCCCCGAAGGAATATAGGTAATCAGAAGTAAGAGAAATGCATCCTTCGTATTGACGCAAGAAGGTTTAATGGTCATGTTGGATCTGCGGTCTGGATCTGCCAAGGGGATTTTAGCTGAAAATCAATCACATTCATTGTTTCAAAACAGACAAGAGTTTGATTATGTGCTTTTAGTGCAGTATTGCAAAAATGCAAATAAATTTTTGCTGAACAATTATGCACGAAAGCTATCACATTTCCTACCATATTAAAAATTATCTAAGAAGAATATGGAAATACAGGATTTGCATTGAATGGATTTCTCGTACTCTTTGTTAAAAGTAAAGCAAAGTAAAAATAAACTAATTGCTAGTATCCCTGACAGGTAATAATATATTTAAATTTCTTAAGAAATTCATTCTCAAAATGAAATGCAAATTTAAATCTAAAACAACTTACCTACCTATAAAATTATTTAGATTTTTCCCTTTTGGATTTGAGAATTGGAGTGCTGCAGTTTGAAGTTTTCATTCTTTGAAGAAATGGGTGTAAAACTACAACTTGTGAATAAAACAGTTTGACCACCTTATGCAGCCTAAATGTCTAAATACCATCAACATCATACACCTTCCAGTGAAGCTTGACGTCCTGCACAGTTCTCAAGGGGCCCCTTGAGCTCTTGATACACATCCCACAGAGGTTGTGAAATAGGGAATGATTTGCTGACAAATTGAAATGAACAATGAAAAAACAAACTGGCAGTCGCAACATGCCAAGAAACATATGGTACAAACTCTGCTTGTAATTTTAATGTCTTTTATTAGGCCTCAGTGGGAAAAGAGGCTATAAAGCCATGTACACTGTTTTGTTCTCATCCAGATGTGTGTAGATGCCACTGTACTGTACATCTGTGGCTGAGGCATGTGTGGGATCTGAACCAGACATGAACTGTATATTTCTGACCTCAACCATAGCAAAGCCGTTTATCGCAAAATAAGAATGTATTTTATACTGTTTATATATATTGTATATCCATTCAAATACTGTGTGTGAAATTTATAAACTATTTGTAATGTTGTATTAGTCAGTTCCTGTAAGCCTATTGTTTTCAGTGTAATATTGCACGCAGAGTGATTTTGCTTCATTGCCAATAGAAAGGAGGAAGATTCAATGAACTTTAAGCCTGTAAGCTACACAGACTCTCTTATAGTTTAGGTGTTTGTCTTCATTCTTCAGCTATACAAATATATTTAGAGTTTTATAAAGAAATAAATGAAGCTCTGTGATGTAATTAAATACCTCTGCCAAACAGTGCCAAATCAACTGAGTGATAGAGCGTAGTTAGAGCTCTCTTACAGCTCTCACACTGTTTTCATTTTTGTCATCCGGAAAATGGATGGAGTTGGCTGAGTATCGGCTCATGGTACAAGTTCAGCTGCACTCAGTGATGTTGCCCAGCTCATAACTTCCATTCGGTTCAGAGATGCTATGAATCGATGACATGCTGACACTTCCTTCTATATTACAATGAGTCCCTGAATGTGAGTTCAAATGAATGCTGTCATTCTATTATTTTCTCTTCAGCAGCTGGTTTTGATGGGACATTAGAACAGAGTCTCCTGCTTTGCATGTGCTCAAGGTTGTCAAATGTAATTTAATCATTTTACAAGCTTATCGGTTGGAACAATGATTATATCCTGAGTGCTTTTTTTCCCCTTTATGCAGCAGTTTGAAAGGAGCCTTGATGTCCTGGCACAGGAATGTATGGGCAGGTGATGCATGTGTTCATAATTCTTGCATGGAATCTGTTGCACCAAGACATTTCTCTTTAAGACGGTTTGACACTTCCTCTCTCCAGTGATAGCACAGTGGCAATAAGCGTGATCTTTATTTTATTCATTAGTTGCCTTCCAGCTCTTTTTCAATTTTGTGAAGAAATTTCTCATCAGGTGACATAAAAAACGTATGACAATTAGCCTTGTCTGGAAAAGTTCAAAGCCCCATGAACACAGAATAGCTGTTTTTTTGTAGTTGATGTTGGTTACAGTACAGCCAAGAAAGTATAAGATACAGTATATAGATAAAGAATGTGTACAACATTTTTGCAACTGGACCATAAGTAGGACTGGAAACACAAAATGGAGTTAAAAAATGAACGTCCTTAGAATTATGATCATCTCCTAGCAATCTCCTCCTCTCAGATATCAATAGGAGATAATTATAGAGGTATTTATAAGATATAAATACAGAACATTCGATGTTCATTCCCAGTGTTGCATTATCTGCCTTTAACAACCCACTGGCATAAAGTCTCATCTCACAAGGAAAGTTCAATTACCTAATTATTTGAGACCCAAAGAGAGCTAAAGCCAAAGTATGTTCTTAAAACGCATAATCTTTTTTAAAAAGTACATTTTTTGAAGCTGTCCAAGCATTATTTGTTGGGCTATTGTATTTATCCCCATAATTATCATTATGGTCACAATAATGAAAGCAATCAAAGCTGTGATGACCTTCTTGATACATACTGTTGATATTGCTGTCACTCAAGAAAAACATTTTCTTAGGACAGAAAATAATGGCAATACAGTAACTAGTTTTATTCATAACTCAAAAGAAGAACAATGTTCTTGCAAATTCAAGACTTTTTTTTACTGTGTGAAATTGGGATTATTGATTGTCAGAATAAATTGATGACTGCTTCTCCTGTTATAATTTAGAAAATAGCATCGCCTTATGTGCTTAAAGATGTATTTAACAAAATGAAAGTGTAAACATTCATATTCACGAACAAAAAAAATCTATTAATTTCTTTGTGCTTTTTCTACAGTGATTACACTGACATTATGGAATGCTTTAGTTACACTCTTTCTTGGAAACAAAACTCTAGATTAGATTATGGTAGGATGCAGCAATTTACTTATCACTAGGTAGCAAGTGTGAAAGTGTGGCTGATGGTATTTATTAAACAGCAGCCATCAAAAATGTGCATAGAGTAGCAATACCTGTTTAGTAAGGCTCTTTATAGAAATATAATTTTGCTGTAGGTTTTCTTGAAGAATGGATCGGCGTTGTTATAATGATACAAGCAAATAAGCATGATCCCACTGATTCATCTGTGAAATCAGATATTGCACTAATGCAACACAGTTGCCTTTGTGTACGTACAAAGAGAAGATCTTAATTGCAGTCTTTTCAAAGCAATTTCACAGAAATCGTACCATCACAGAACAATTTGTAAGAACAAACTGTGATATTAAATGAAGGGGAAAATTAAATATTTTGGAAAGTAAGTTTTTGAACACAAATCTGCATTACGTCTGGTACAGTGGGTGCCATTTCAGTCCTTTTTCAGTGGGATACATTTGGCTCATTATTTCAAACTTATGGCAACAATGAAGACACTCTCAGAACTTAAAAGCCATCAAAGTATGAGTACTAGATTATCTTGCAGACACTATGGGGAAATAAAGAGAAGTGTTGTGGTCTGACAAGCTACGCCACCATGATGTGGAAGCCAATACCCTAGCTTCTTTAGATTATCATGAGGTGAAGTGTTCTACAAGAAAGTAAACTATTTCAAGTCAGTGTTGCCTTGTGCTGCAAACAGAACAGTGATCTACAATGATCTCACTTGAATCTCAAAGCATGTTTACTGTTCTGGAGATATTATTCACAGAAGACGTTATCGAAGACTGAATGAGGTCAATGGACTAGAATTCATTTATAAAATTCTAATCGAACACACTGAAGGAAATATATGAAAAATATTGGAGTCCACTCAGGTGTCAGATGTGGATGGTATCCTGGTTCTGTAATCACAATTTGGCAGGAAGGAATGAAACCACAGTCCAATCAGCATTCCCAAACTGCAAATAGCTGATGTGCTAGGTGATATTGTAATTATAGCACAAGTGTGTTAGTCACACTGCAATAACACACTTTGTTACAGATCGAGAGCTACTGATCACAGCTGAAGGGAAATCTATCCATCATCATGTCAGCTTCTAGATTAAAAGGTATAATTTTACACTGTGAAGTGATAGATGGTTTCAAAGCAGTTCTTTAGGTTGCCATTCGCCCGCAAGCGTAGCATAACCAAAGCAATTAATATGTATTATAATTGAGCAGAGCTTTTGGAGTATCTAAGTCATTTTGGATACTTTTGTAGCAGTGGAGAATCTCCCAGTGTGTCAGAAAAACTGACTGATTATGTAATTGCTTGGACTGTGATTGTTTGCTGGAGTAATGCTGATTTTCCCATCCAGTGAGAAAATCGTACACTTATGAAGGAACAGGTTAATAACAATAAAAGTCAAAGTGTACAGCTGATGTAGACATGTTCAGGTCGTACTGATTGTCGTAGTTGTTCAGCTGAAAATAGTGTAGAAGAAATAAAATATGAGAAAAGGCACTGAAAAAACTAGATAGCACCTGCAGTCTGTAATAAAGAAGGTACACTCACTATCTACTGTACCTAAGCACAG